GCGCGACCTTTACCTGCTGTGCTTCTGTGCTGTCACCACCAGGTGTTGTAGCTTTCCATCTGGGCAGCACATTCGACAGTGGACGTGTCTCGATCTGCACTGCACCGGTGCGATCAGCCTGGCCCAGTCCACGTTTTCTGTTTCCGCTTTTGCCGCTTTTGTCCGACTCAGAATCAAGTAGATGAACTTCTCCCTCTGCAGCTGATTGTGCTGAAAATAAATAATAATGGAAAATTATTAAATTACTAACATTTTCATAGAATTAGTTAAATAAAAAGTAGCTCCACCTACACGTTACACACGTTACTACACGTTTACACCAGGGGTTAAAAAACGCTTATATCAAGTAACTCCATGTTATTTATCCTGGGGATAATCATTCAATCAAGTTTTGGAACAAAGTTTGTATACTGGTTCGGGGGATAGTTTATAATGTTGCCATGGAGTCTTGAGTCCTGTTATTTTTTTGGTCAATATTTGTTTACAGATTGGCAAATTGCACAATTAAATGTGCCAAATTAGCTATTAGCAGTTCCTGGTTACAATGTACAGACAACTTTCACTAGATTACTTAAGCACTGAAGAAAACTATTGTTCAGCATGCTAAATCAGCTGGTCAAACTAACTTCTAACTTTAGAACAACAGCATTCACTTGTCTCTTTCACCTGATGTAGTATCTCTGCCTCATGTCTTTCCCCCTGCGCCTCATAGACTTATATCAGTTGAAAGTTCTGTAAAAAGTTCATAAACGGACTTTGAGTTCTATTTTTTTTTGTCAAACTACTATTTCTTTCTTTTTCTTTTTGGAGCTTTTATTGCCTTTAATGGATAGTGACAGCAGAAGAGCGACAGGAAACGGGGGGAGAGAGTGAGGGGATGACACGCAAAGCTGGACTCAGCCTTGGTACTGATGTTTGACTTTCGAGAAGAAGAGTCTGCTCTTACCCCGGGCAGAGGAAGAGGATGGTACTGCTGCTGGAAGTTGCAGGGTGTGACGGGCTCTTGGGCGAGTTTAGGACACGTCAGTTCATGAGGACACTGGGAAAATAAAACAACAGAGAGAAGATGGAAGAATGCTGTGACACTGCCGGATGAAAGCATGGCTTGATATTTTAAACCAGCTGGGATTTAAGCATACCGGAGCAAACACCGACGCTGGTCTGGTATCATAGGCAGTCTCCTCCTGTTTCTGAAGAGAATTAGAAGTCATCAGTCTGCTTCCATTAACAGCGTCTAACAAGCACCCCTATTATCTACTGTGTTTGAATACCTTTAATAAAGCGTCTCTGGCTTCCATAAGCATCTGATGGCCCTCTTTGGTCCCATTTTCCACCAGCACCTATGCCATAAAACATATTTATCATTACCAATAAATAAAACAGCATCACAATAATTTGAAAGACACGTTGCAATTCAGACACAAAATGTCTCAAATCTGATAAATATTCACTCAAGTTCCAACAGGACAACAGGACCTCACACACAGATAATGGACAGTGAAGTGCACGTCATCAGTAGGTGAAGTTGTGTCATTATTTCAACCAACCAGGTACGAGCTTGTCTTTCTCCACAGAGTCAACACTGCCTCTTCTCGCTCCTTCACGTTGGGAAGCTCCGACAGGGTGAAGGCGGTTACCACCAAGTCAAACTGCACCTGGAGGGAGAAACACAGGACGGTCAGGGCTCCTTGTAGTCCTGGACAGTTTTGTATTGTGTGTCTCTGCTAAGAAATAAATTCTTTGATTGTTGATTTTGGTCAATAAAAGATAAATATTGCATTATTAGCAACAAACAGAAACAAAAAACACTTTCCTGACACATGGCTTTCAGTATACAGTTTGTTACATGCATCTGGGTACAACTGACAGAGCCTGTTCTATTCTATTCTAAATATATATATAAAATCTTTTGTTTGAATCTCAAAACTTAAGGCTAGAATACATTTAATGAAGAAACTCACACTTTCTAACACTGACTGTGTTTTTCTGCTGCTTAAATAAAGATTATGGGGGGGGGGGGTTAAGGTTACCTTAGGAGAGACAGGAAGGAACTGCCTGAAATAGACATGTTTGATGTGAGGTTCAGCTTCTTCGTCATCCCCTGCTCGTCAACAAAGGCAACAAGAAAACAACCAACCACGCTTAAAAACAAACGGCCAAACAAAACTGATACAAATCAAAACTGTTACAAGTGTTTGTGTTTGCACCTTTGAGAAGTTTCTCTGCCAGGATGTTCATCGGCCCAGAGCTGTCCACACACACCATCTCCTTCAAGGTGTCGCCCCAGCACGAGTGTGACGCCCTGCGGGACACAGACTCAACTCACAGTCTTGTATTTTACATGAAAACTGTCCTTATGCGTCACCAGTGTTTCATACGAACCAGACAACTGTTCCCAGCCCCGAACCGAAATCCAGGAGAGACTGAGGGGCAAAAGAGGGGTCCCTCTTCTTTATCTGAAATGATTCAAAGAAGAAAAAAATGTAATTTAGGGCAGAAAAAGACATTTGTTTTGTAATTTCTCCATGCTTTACCACTATAATATGATCTAGTTAAGGACTCCTTAAGGACAGCCCTGGTATCGTCACATCGATGAGTTAGCCTACAATGTTCTTTACCTCATTCATAGCTCTCCTCACTGCTGCGTAGCCCCCGGCCAGCCGAGCCGCCATGTACACCACAGCCAGATCTTCATCGTACCTGAAACACAGAGAGTGAGCTGTATATAAACTCAGTTGATAAGCTCCAAAATGTAACTGCAGAGGGGAGTTCACGAAACCCTGTCGCTCCACGTCTGGCTAACGTTTTGACATTCAAATTAAGTGTCTGAACTTTATATAAAGCTAGTATAAAAGACATAAAATGTTAATTATTGGTTAAAAATTGGCAAAAATGAGATCATTTCTGAACACACGTATACTTTTAAAACTCTCGTAAATTCATGAATAGTAAGAACAAGTGTTACTTCATGGTAGTCCAGTGGTATGTGGATCTTCTGAGCTCTGAAATCACTTTCTTCCTGATTCGGTCCTCCAGCAATTGTTCATCTATATCTGCAATATGAAGCACATTTACGTTTCATCATCTCATCTCTTCGCCGTTATTATACAGACATTATCATTTTCTGATTTGTCGGTCTCCCACCTCCATCTCCACACTTCTCTATTTCTTTCTTCCAAAGTTCTTTCTCCAGGCTCAAAGCTTTCTTCCTCAGAGTGAAATCCTCGACTGCTCGTTTTCTGCTCCACAGAAAGTTTGTGAGGCTATGAGTGCGTTCAGTCAGCCGGGGCAGCTGAGCTCCTACAGGTGGAGAGATGGAAGAGTCAGTCGCACCGTATTTTGACTCATTTCAGACCAGTGAAGATGCCACATTGATAACTTAACCTACTGTGAATGATCGAACATGCGGCCGTCTGGAGTTCCTCAGGGAGGCGCAGAGTTTTCAGGTTGGTCACACCTGGGTGCTTCTTGTGTCTTTCTCCTTTTAGGAAATCTACCTGTGGCTGTGGGTGTGCAGCTGCACTCATTGCCTGAGGAAGAAAAATAAAAACAAATGTTCTTTATGAACATATTGAACATCTTCACCACCTCTTTAAGATCAAGTGAGTTATCAATAACCAGAATAGACAGACAAGAAGTTCTAGAGCCATTATTTGGGCATTTGATTTTAGTTTGTAGTACATCTAAGGGTATTTTATTTTTGGATTTCATCACTGATTAACTCACACTCTGAACTTGTAGTAACAAATGTATGGTTATTGTATCTTTACACTGTTTTAAAATGTAGGTCATAAATCTTCCTATTGCCATATATAATATATATACTGTATTAAATGATTGTACCTGTATTACACAGCCCTATAATCACACAACAGTATAAAGAGCAGAGTAAATCAACAATAGATATCATAATGTGTCAGAAGTTTGTTTGTTTTGTTAGATGGTAAGTTGTTTAAAACTAGATTAAGACTGTAATTCATAGGTTTTCTGTCTGTAAAGCTTTTAGCAGCAAACACAAACATAAATACAATTATCCTCTATCAAATTGGAGCAAATAATAAATAAATAAACAATAAATTTACCACAATGTCTGTGTTTGGGGCATATTTCCCACTCAAAACTAAGTGGAGAATGTGACACTAAACGTACAAGACTGCGAGTTCACAGAAGAACAAATGTAATAAATTAATGAATATCAATATTAGTATCTATCATATGCTCTACATAAGCTGCGCTGTAAGCAGAGCTAATCGATTCTGTATTGATTTCAGTCCTGTTTCTACATCGTGTCTATCTATCTGACCTCCATGGTAAAGATGGTGCGTTCAATGACACAAACTCCACTCACCCTACACATCATCCTCACGACGGAAGCCTTACGACAGAGGACACAAACGCTCCGTGATGCCATATCTTCGGCACCTGAACGGGGATTTATTGTGTTTAAATTGCTTTTATATTTTAACTTTAATTTACATCCACATTTAATCAGCTCAGCGGCACGTTAGGTTTTTTTTTTTAACCAATCCTTAGACAAAATAGTTCCGACCTTCGTTTAAGGCGGAACCTTTGGTCCCCGAGGTTCTGTTCCGCGCCTACGAGCACAGACAGGAGTTCTCACTCTGCTCTGGTTTCCAGATACAGTCCAACATCTCCGACTTACGGCTCTCTTCTCCAAATACAGACACAAATACACCAATAAAGATAAGCCAATGCTACATTTGGACTATTTGTACAGAAGCGTATTGCATTCACTTGAAAAATAAAACAACTCTTTTCTGTTTTACGGAGTAATTTGTTTTTCTTTTTCAGAGTCATTTTTTTCTGTTTTTTAGAAGTATTTTTTTTGTTTTTCCTGAGTGATTTTTTTTCATTTTTCAGCAAATAATTCTTTTCCTGTTTTTTTTAGTAATTTTTTTCTAATTTTTGGTAGTATTTTTTTGCTGTTTTTCGAAAGTCATTTTTGTCTGTTTTTCTTCAGAGTCATCTTTTTTCACGTTTTTTCCTGAGTCAAATTTTTGATCTGCTTTTTCGTGTAAATTTTTCAGTTTTTCTTGAAGCCATTTTTTTCCTGTTTTTCCGTGTAAATTTTTTCTGTTTTTCTGGAGTCAATCGAAGGACGACCAAACTAAATGGCTAAACCAGTCTACGAACACGTGTATTATGAGATTAAAGACAGGACCTGATCTCAGTGATCTTAAACCGCAGATCAAAGTAAAATACCTGATTGAACTAGAACACAGCCGCTCATGTTTTGTTCCCCGTTAAATCGAGCTCTCAATAAAGGAATGAATGCGTCTATTGTTTCAAATGCTCTCTAAACTCTAAAAATTTGTCTGAAAAACAAAAAAAATAATTATTCAGAAAATCTGAAAAAAATTAATCCGAAAAACAGAAAAAAAAATATTCCAAAAAAACACACCAAAAAATAAATTATTCCGAAAAACACAACAAAAAATAAATTTTCAAGTGAATGCAATACTTAAATCGTTGTCATGGCAACGGCAAATGCCACTACTTTTTTTGTACGAAGGTGTAAAGCGCATGCGTGAAGCTCAGTTTTTTTTTTCCCCACGTCCGCGTGGTTCATCCTCATACTAAACGATCTTTGGCGGCAGCGGCTAGTGAAACAGTGGTGGAGAAAGTTTATTTATCGCCCTCTTTGTTGTCACTGTGCCCCCTTTTTTTCATTTACTGCGCCCACCTAAGTTATTTCCCCAGTCCACCATGAGGCGTACTACAAGAAGCACGAGAAATAAAATTGAAAGTGCTCAGGAAAATGAAGAAGTTCAGTCGAAAACAGGTTGGTGCTCGTTTCCCGCTGGAAGATTAGCTAGCAACTAACATCATCCCTGCAGCAGGAAATGAGAATGTTTGTTTATTTCTGCTTCGTGCAGCCTTTATGTGTGTTTACCTTAGTGTTATTGATCATGAATATCCCAAATGCATTCAGGAAGAACCAATGCAGCCCCTGCAGCACTCAGATAACAGCTTTAGAGAGGAACTTTGTTTTCATCTGAGGTTGCTGTTGAATCAGCACTGATATGCATTAAGCATTCATTTACACAATGCAGATTAAGGTAGTTTGAGTGTTATGTGAAGTGGTTAAAAAGAGACCAATACATTTAATTTTATACTCAATTATACAGATATTATGAGTAAGAATAATTTAGTGGTTTGACAATTACACTGGTGCTTTCTGTTAACTTTATCTGTAAATGATATTTCGGTAATTGGAGACTATTTGCAGTGTTAAAGTTGCAAAGATGCATATTTTTGGTTTTATTTCCTCCACTTAGGCTGAGTTATCGCTCATTTTTCTCTGCAAAAAGCTTTACAAATTTTAAATATATAAAAGAACTGAGTCATTAGTAACATAACAGGTTCATTACAGGTGAGCAGAAACATGGAAGGGAGAGAGTAGTCAGTAAAAGCGTTTAATTGAAAAGAAATATGTTTAATAATGTAATCAGTCCCAACTTTTCATACTGATGCTGTCGCTCTTTGAATCTAAAAACTAAACCTTTCTGTTCCTCCCAGTTATTAGACATTACTTGGTACAGAAATATGTAATTATACTATACTGGCTCCTATGTGTGGTTATTTTCATTATTGCTTAATTAAATAGCCATTTTTATTGAATTAAAACTGTTTTGAAAGTATTTGAATTGTCACAGTGTTAATAAAGTGTGGAGCAACCGTTCTCTCTCTCTGTGTGATCAGTGTGGCAGTGGAAAGGAGATGAAGGACAGTGGGAACCATACTCACTCGTAGACTGCGCCTTGCTGGACACGGCGGTCTCTTCGGGAAAAACCTCCGTCACTCTGAGTCTGGGCTCTGGGACGGCCTACGAAGTCGACCTGAAGAAGATGGTCCAGATTAATCCCGTCACCAAGTACAAGAGGAAGATTCGCTCCCAGGCAGTAAAACCAGGTATGCGTGCGTTAGGTGTTTAATCCTCTCTGCTTTGATTATTACACACATTAACACAAATGTCCAGGAAAGATTAGGAAAGGCTTCATAATAGAAGTATTATATAACATGTATATGGTTTTTGTTCAGGTTTGTAGTTACGTGAAATACCAGAATTACTGAAGATATTTAAAATGTTTTTTCTGTTGTCTTTTTTTGTCTAGAAAGTTCGAATGACGCTGGAGACTCGGCCGCTTATAATGGGAGACCAGTTGACGTTAAAGAGGAAGAGGAGGAAACGAAAGAGCAACCAGCAGCTAAAAGAAAGAGAGGACAAAGCAAGAGTCAGACAAAAACTGAAGCAATGCCCAAAAAGGAAATAAAAAGTGAAGGTAACGTGGATCTAATGTTCATATATGTTACGTAATACCATTAGGAAGTGGACATTGAAGTTGTTTAGTAACTGGTGACCCACAAGGGTAGTAACTATGGCCAGTGGTTTCTGTTTTGGGGGTTTAGAGGTTTTAAAAGACACAGTGTTATCTGTATGCCTTATTAGATTTTAGTTCACCTCTTTAATGGTTTTGTCTCTGGTCTTTGGACGTCGAACAGAGGTTGTGAGGACGGTGGTCATGAAAGGAAAAGCTCCAGTTGACCTCGAATGCAAAGCCAAACTCGGAAAGGTACGGTATCTTGAATGTTCTCACAAGATACAGAACCCGTGATTCACATCGGTCACGTTGTGGTTTGACACCTGTTTGAGCTTTGCAAAGCATTTGTCCAGTTACAGTTCCTCTTGTGAGAGCGTGGCACAGTTTGTGGTTTGTTAAACGTGAGAATCAGAATCAGGTTTGTTGCCAAGTTGGCTTTCACATACAAGGAATCTGAGTGTAACTCTTTTAAATCTCTGATCTTTAATCAATCAATAAAATATTTGATTTAATCTTTTAAATGATATTTTACATTGCTTAGAAAACAATCATTGTCAGATTAATCAGTAATGAAAATAACTAGTTAGTTGTTACCCTACAAACAATAATATTTGATTCACTGATTGTTATATTATATAGAGCATTTTACACCTTTGCCCTTATTTTTCAATCTGGAAAATTTTACTAAATCATTGCTGTCTTAATGCACATAAAACATATATGCAATGTAAAGAATGAAAATGCGAAGTTTACAGTCAAAACAATATGTTTTTATTTTCCTTCTACAGGATGCAGATCAGGTGCAGTTATCTTCATTTAGTAACTGTTCAATTTTCTCTTTCAGGCTCATGTTTACTGTGAAGGAAATGATGTTTACGATGTGATGCTAAATCAGGTAAATTATTTAATAGCATTTAAAAGTTGAATCAAAGCAATCTGCTAAATTAATCAACAAAAAAAAGTGTTGAGGTGGTTTTCTTAAACATATTAAGAATTATTACTAATTCAAAAGCTGTAGTGTGTATTTCAACATTGAGTAGTGCTGACTAAAACAGTACAACAGGTTTCAGGTGATGATTTTAGACCAAAATGTATTTAACTAGGCTTCTTGCCTTCTATAACTGACTATTTTCACCTACACTGTGATGTGTCTGTGTGATAAATGTGATTCTTCATAGCCAACAAAGCGTCTCCTACACTGTTTCTTAAATGAAGTTTGAAGAACAGAAATCAAGTTGATTTTTAGACTTTCTGTCTTATTTTGTAGACAAATCTTCAGTTTAACAACAACAAATACTACCTGATCCAGCTGTTGGAAGATGACAGCGCCAGGGTTTACAGTGTGTGGATGAGATGGGGCAGAGGTAAGTTTATGTTTGTATTTATGCAGGAAACTAAGCCTGCAGTCTGGAAGATCTTTTCTAAAATGTGAATTAACAGATTGAATATATTTTGGTTTGATTTATGTATTGTTTTGTTTTCAGTGGGAAAAGTGGGTCAAAACAGTCTGACAGCTTGTGGTGGAGACCTGCTCAAAGCCAAAGATATCTTCAAGAAAAAGTGAGATTGTGCAATTAAAACAAATATATCGTCTCACATTGAAGCGAGTTTAGTAAAATTCTGCATTGTTTTGCCACAGGTTCCTTGACAAGACAAAGAATGAGTGGGAAGACCGAGCGAGTTTTGAGAAAGTAGCTGGAAAATATGACATGGTGTTTATGGACTACAGTGTGAATGAAAAGGCAAAGAACCAACCACCTATATACCCCCTCAATATCTGTGTAATCAGTGCCTGAACTCTTTGAACTCTATTATTATGAACATGTATATATTTCACTGTTCCAGGAGGAGAACCAGACCACAGTGGATGCTGTACCCAAAAAGAGGACCTCCACGCTGGATGTGAAGATCCAGTCGCTCCTGGAGCTAATCTGTGACATCAAAGCTATGGAGGAGTGTGTGCTGGAGATGAAGTTTGACACCAAGAAAGCTCCTCTCGGTCAGTCTGACAGAACCAACATTTCTGATTTAGACTAATAACATTCCCCGAATTTAATTGAATTTAATTTTACGTACAAATATTTGATACAGTGTGATCCCAAGACGCAATAAAAGAAGTTTGAACTCCAGTGGTGCCACCTGACTATATAAATAGAACATGTAACCAGTATTGTTGTGCTTCACATTTCAAATTCAATATTTGTCTTTCTACCTGCAGGCAAGCTGACCTCAGAGCAGATCCGCGCAGGCTACTCGGCACTGAAGAAGATCGAGGAGTGTTTGAAGAAGAAGGGCAGCAGTCGTGAGTTGCTGGAAGCATGTAACCAGTTCTACACCCGCATCCCTCATGACTTCGGGTGAGGAATATGTGGCTGTGCAGTTGCAGAGAAATGCTCTAAATAACACTGTTGGAAAAACATGACGTCTGAATGAATTGACTTCTCGCTGTAACTAAAACATTTAATTCTCCAGGTTGAAAACTCCTCCAATGATTCGATCAGAAGCCGAGCTTAAGGAAAAAATATCATTGTTGGAGGTAAGGGGCTTCTCCATTAATTAACTCTAATTATTCTGTTTATGTCTTCACTTAAATCAGTTGTCCATACTTTATTATCAATACTTTTTTCTGTCTTTCATTTTAAAGGCTCTGAGTGACATTCAGATAGCAGTGAAAATGGTTCAGTCCAGTAATGACAGTGACGAACATCCTCTGGACAGACAGTACCGCTCCCTCCAGTGCCAACTGCAGCCTCTGGACTCCGCCGGCAATGAGTACAAGGTCTGTGTTTTAACTGTTATAATGATAAAAGTCAGGGTTTACCTGCCTGGACTAATACACTGCTGGTATGTTCATGGATGCACCCTCGAGATGTATATGGTGCTTTTATTATCTAAGCACTGGATTCGTATCATGACAGTTAAATCAGGAAAGACAGGATTGATGGATGCGAGGCCAAACGAAGTTAATCCACTTATAAAACTGTTCCTCAAAATCTAGTAGTTTGTTTATAATCTTATATGTAAATCAATGTAACATAATAATTCTTTCATACTTGCTAGGGCTGCACGATATGGTACAAACATCATATTGACATTATTTTGACAGATATTGTGATTGCAATATGATTTACAATTAGCAGGAATGGCTTTATTTATTTCCCTATACACTGATTAACTGATGAGAAACACAAACTGAACTTTCCTCTTCTCTGTGTGAAGGTGATAGAAAGGTTTCTACTGTCCACTCACGCCCCCACCCATTCTGACTACAACATGACTGTCCTTGACATCTTCTCCGTGGACAGAGGCGGGGAGAGTAACAACTTCCTCTCACAGTTGCACAACAGGTAACAGACAGTCTGCTTAGTATTTGTATGAATAGTCAATACACCTCTAGGCTTATACCATTACTGGTTTTTGTTCCATATTTGCCTGCGTAATGTCTGACAGCGAGTCCACTATGTCTGTGTGTCTGCCAGGACTCTATTGTGGCACGGTTCCCGCCTTTCTAACTGGGTCGGCATCCTCAGTCAGGGGCTCCGAGTGGCCCCACCTGAAGCTCCCGTCACTGGTTACATGGTAGGGCGGACAGAAAAATACATTCAGATTCTGTTTTTGACTTGATTTTGACTTTATGTTTGTCTCCAAACCCTCTGCTTTAAAAAAAGTCATGAGCCAAATTTTGGAAAATCATGTTATTGACTATTAACAGATGATGATTTCAGCACTTTGGAATGAAATTATCTATAAACTATAAGATTGTTTGCAATACAGCAATAGATTTTTTGTCCCAGTGATAATAATTTCTCAGTTTCTCTTTCATCTAGTTTGGAAAAGGTATCTACTTTGCTGACATGTCGTCAAAGAGTGCCAACTACTGCTTTGCCAACCAGAACAACCACGTTGGACTGCTGCTACTGTGTGAGGTGAGTTCATTTGTCTTCTGTGGCAACATTAAGGACGTTTTAGAGGTAGTTGTATGCACATCCCATCCTATATTTAGGCCGGGTGAAGGACAATAATTTCTATGGTGTCTGCACACTGGATTCTAGAAAAGGGCAACGTTTCAACCCGTTATCATACTTTTTTAGGTTCTTTTAAAATGCGATGTGACTGGTTTGTGTTTATATTACGTTTTTGAATCAATGCATCCATGGTCTGTGCATATTAAAATTGGAATATTTATTATCAAAAGGTTAACCCTTTTTACCCTTAATTACCTTTATTTTCTAATCTTTTGATAGTTTAAAGCTTTTTGTGTAATTACATGGATGGCTATATATGCTTGCCCATATATCTGATGAACATATAGCAGATCATACATATACATATAGCCTCATAAATAAATAAATATACCAGCAGTAAACAAAGTGGTGTTTTATTATTGATAAAGAGAGTTGGCTGCCATCCAGTATAACTCATGTACTGTAATTAATGTGGGTGTTATCAATCTATAGCACACGATTGGGTGTAGTAGGTTTGGCACGACTGTGGAAAACATTGAACAAAGGTTTTTATGGTGGTTTTTATTCACAACTTGTAGTTATAGAGTAGATTTTCCTTTTTGCTGGTCTCACACCTGCTATTTGTCACCTCAATTTCCACTCAAAACTAAGCTGTTTATTGATGCTGCCAATGAAGAAACTAGCGTAAAAAAACATATACATGTTTGGCCCAGATGTGATGCAGGTCTTTGCTTTGTGTCTGTGTGTGGTTGCAGGTCGCTCTGGGAGACTGTAACGAGCTGCTGGATGCCGACTACGAGGCCCACAAACTTCCTCCTGGAAAACACAGCACCAAAGGCCTGGGACAGACCGGGCCTGACCCCAAAAACGCTGTCACACTGTTAGTCTGTCTCATCACACTGACACATTTCATGCAGGCCAAACATTGATTTAATTGTGCTCACTGTTACACAACAAAAATCACTACATTATCTGAGAGGGGCAGTTTGTTAATTACATTAGCAAAGAAAAAAAAAATGCAGGTTCAGCACAGAGAAAAATGCAAATACAATAACAAACATTATAATAAGTAGCCCTTAAAGAATCACTATTAACTTCTCCTTTCTTAAACTGCTTCTGAGATTTATAGTAACCATCATCACTGGTATCTTCTGATGTGTCCTGCTAACTGTAAAATAATAAAATTTCTAATTTCCTTTATGTTCATGTGTCTAAAGGGTGAATAATAACAATTAATGATGTTTTGCTATTAATTTCACAATATAATACAGTTATTAATTATTAGATTTAGTCCTATTGTGTCAGAAGCACACTGAACCATTTAGAGAAATACATTTAGCTCAGAGACCCCAATATCTTCATGGTGTTGGGTGAGATTTATTTTATCTACAATATGTAGACCTATATGTATTTGTTTAGGGACATTTTCAGGCACGCCATACAAATGTCAGATGTTTTTTTTTACTCTAGAGAGAGGCAGTTCGGAAGAAAACCACTAAAAAGTCAAAATATTAAATGTTATTCGCTCTGCAGTGACTCATACACTAATGGACTGACCTTGCTTTACTCTCATTTGTTCTGCCTCCGGCTCTGCTGCCTTGCCTCTGTAGATTTAACTATCTGAAAAAATACAGTTTTTTTTTATTACAGAACAATCATCTGAGCATGAAACATCACTAGTTTTATTTAGTGCCATCCTTAAAATCCAAATGTGATCTACCTAATAGACAGTGCTACAGCGGTTTATGGTTCCTTTCTTCTGGTTCAAATCTTTTAGATTTGATTTCCTGCCTTCCTGGCAGCAGCTGGTTTCACTTCATCTCAAGCTCATCTTAATTCTCTGCAGGTTAATTTCCATATTGTGCTAACATGGACGGAAACTAGTTACTCTCTGAAAGATAGGAAATCGATCTGAACAATCGAACAGTTAAAGTATGTTTTGAAAAAGTATTTAAGTAAGGAATGGCAATTTGTACCTAATGTGTTAAAACCACCAGAATTGTCATTTTAATTTGTATTCACCTCTCTCTCTTTCTCTCTCTTTCTCTCTCTTTCTCTCTCTTCCTCTATCTTCCTCTCTCTCTCTCTCTCAGGGATGGTGTGACCGTGCCAATGGGGCCCGGGGTGAAGACAGGGGTGGGTAAACATAACAGTTACTCCCTCCTGTACAACGAGTACATCGTTTACAACCCTGCCCAGACTCGCATGAGGTACCTGCTGCGGATCAAGTTCAACTACTCTTCACTGTGGTGAGGCAGTATGGGGATTTGGTCTCCTCAAACCAGGGAGTAAACGTCACTCAAGTCATTTTTCATGTGAAGTTAGATACCGTACTGTTAAACCTAAAACTGTTTTTAAAATCGTGGTTTAATCATTCAAGCAGAAATGCCAAATAATCTGGCTGAAGCTTCTCAGGTGTGAGGACTTTCTGCTTTTGTTTGTCTGATATCTTTGGGTTTTGAACTGTTGGTTGACTAAAACAAGCAATTTATTAAAGTGGGACTGCAGGTTTACTGTGTGGCTGCCGAAGCTTTGGTAAGGGTAGAAGATGAGGATGGATCCATGTGATACAGTAAGAAGAAAACATGCTGAACATTTTGCACTACTTTTTGTCCTTGTTGCTTTATATTGTGTACGTCCTGATCAATATAATCTGTATTTTATTGCATATTACATGTGGCAACATTCATTGCATTGCAAAATGGCCTTATGGATCTAGTAGATTATCAGTCTCTCAGTTCTTTAGGCAGGTTTGACATTAGCATTTATCCTGAATAATTACTTAAATGTTATCGAATGTGTCTTATTAATGTAAAACAAAAAAAAAAGAAAGAAATGTAATGTTTTCATTTGTTTCAGTAATTTAAATTCTTGTAAGGGTTGACATGCAATGCAAAACAACAAAAACAGTTTTTTATATTTTTCAGCATGAACATAATAATAGTAACAATAATAAAGAACTTTTCATTGTGGAAATACTTCGGAGTGTCTGTCTGTGTGTGTTTGGGTATGTGGATGTTATGGTTTTCACCTCCTCCCCAGCAGGTAGAGGAAGATGAGGACTATGTCCAGGTAGATCATGAGCGCGGCGTTGATGTAATCCTCTGGATCCAGACTGTATCTCGACGTCCCCATCAGCATCTGACAGTCGATCATCAGGAACTGAGACAAACAGGAAGGGAGAGAGAGGAGGAGATAAAGATTTAGCACAGGGTGAGGGATTAGCGCTGACATGTTTTACAATAAGCTTTTTTTCATGGAAAACATTTAATCAAATTAATGACGGCTGAATTCTAATTAGCTGCTTCAGTGTCAGGATCCTGTCACACTCATGAACGGAGCCATCATTAATGTTATTAGTAGTGTGAGTGTTGCATGAAATAGGATAAACACAAGTGTTAGCAGTGACACTAATTAAGGATCTGTTGCATTTAGTGTAGCAGAGGCACAGTAGCACCTGAATGTAACAGAACTTGAATTTCTATCATTGGTAACACCTTCGTTAAATTTTACCCTACTATTTCATGTCAAAATGGCAGCTGTGAAGAAGGTGTATCCTCACCAGTTTTCTGTTGACAGATATTGAAAGCACCTGTGTGGGAGTGCAGGACCTTTCACCCATTAATGACTGTCAGTTATATTTAGCATGTTAAAGGAAAAAACCTTCAGAAAACCACAGAAGGGTTTCTGTTAGAGATGAAAACAAAATCTGCTGTGGAAACTGTTGAGACTTGTGGCTACACATAAACATTTCACATATTTATCATGCCATAGTTGATAGACAAGGTTGAATTTCTTTTAAAAGCAAGCAAGTTTAACATTAATTTAACTATCATGTTAAACAATATCTACGCTGAATCAGAGCACATATTGTGATTGAAGTTGTTCTGAATCCAATGGTACCTCATATTTGATAAAACCCCTTGTAGTTTTTGACATACAGACATTTCTGTTGGATACTATATTTAGCTTGTTCACGAGGTGTTAATCATTTTATCCTATAAAAAATACATTATAAAATGTCTCTGAGCTCTAATAGCAATACTGGACCAAGATACAGATTATCATTTTTCTTTTTGAATCTATATTTTAACAGTCTAATGTATGTGTGTATCAAAAGTTATGAACATCTCAAATCCTTTTTACATCTAACCCCTAGAGACTAAAGGCTAGACAAATTATGTTAAGAGTAGTAGCGTCATACTTTAAGTTAAGTGCTGTAAAGGAAAATTATAAAATTCCACTGTGGGTTAATGTGTCTGTTTTCCATACTTGTTTGTTTTCATGAGGTTAAGTGTCAAAACAAGTTCTGTAAATGAAGTGGAAGTGTGCATTTTGTGCATGACAGCTTCCTTTTTCTCACAAAAGAATTGTTTATAGTGGAACCTGAACTGCCTAATGTCAGTAATACCATATGATCCTCAACAGTAACATTAGTTATTCACCTTCTGTATGTGGTTGCAGGCTGTTGGGAGACATTGTACATCTATAAACTACAAGTTGAACAAGTGCAACAGTGGACTGTAAGCATGAGAGGCTGTTTGATCATCTTTCAGACCTGAAGCAAACACACTAATGTTAGGTACAGTAGCAAGGGAAGCTAACTTACTCACAAGTGTTGGTAAATCAGTTGGTAAATCATTTTTAATACCTTATTCCACACATCAATCTTCTGCCATGTATCTGGGTCATATTAATGTATTACTTATATTACTATGTAGTATTGTTATATATACAGCAGGGAAGCATTGACACAAATGTGATATAACTATTTAATAATAAATGCATGGACTTAATTGTAGGCCTTATTGTCCTTTCTGGTTTTCCATCATTCTTTGACCAGTAAAAAGGTAAATTGCATTTAAAAGTCTTAAATTTGGTTTCATCTGAACCACATTACAACACAAGCCATGTAGCTGTAACAGGAGTCAAATCTATCAGTGATGGAAGCGTTTAACCTGCCGAAGTGACAAAGATGAAGCTTCACATGGGGAAAGGGCGCAGAGACGTGCTGTGTAAGTCTTGTTTGCACATCCCTTGAGATGGTCGTATTATTATTATTATGATATAATATTTTACTTACCAGTGAATACAGCAGAGCACCCAGACATCCATAGGCGATATCAGCCATGTAGGAGTAGTAGAAGGTGGAGAAGAACCCAAACATGAGTAAGTCCACAAGCAGAATCAGCAGAATGCCATAGCAAATGGTGAAATCATAACGAGTCTGCAAATAGCACAGAAATAAATTAATTTCATGAACAGTGACAGTGTCCATATATTGATTAAAGCAACTTTTAAGTAAGTAACATAAAAATGCATTTGACATTTTTTGTATACATTTTTATGATTTATTTCCTTTTCTAATATTTATTTTTACTCTTATTTTAGTTATTATTCTTTAATGCACACTAACTAGTAGCACAGATAACAGTAGAACTAGTAAGCCAACCTACATCTTAATGCTCAAAATGAAGATGATAGATAAAATTCTTATTTTATTTTCAAATTACTTAAATTCAACACTTTTTTAATAACACCGGGAATTAAAAAGGGATGTAGCTGTTGTCTTGTTTAGTCTAAAGTCTATTTGCTGTATGTACAGAGGACACAGCTGAGTAAGAACAGCTGTATCAGAAAACACCTGTAGGTTATAATCATTTTAATATTCAGTTCATCTTCAGAGTATTCAGTGTATAAATTGTTGATGAAATTTCTGTTGAGCAACTTATCAATTATTCAACTAACCGTTTCACATTAAGCCTCTTTTGATGCTATTTTCAGCACTTGCAGCTTGTACCATCTTAAAGTCAAATATGGAAACAGTTGAGAGCTGTAACTTCAAAACTGAGAGAGAAAGCCACTGAGATGTGCACATCGCTTTGGGTGCAAACAGGAAGCATTTTGAAATATCTGGTTGTCTGACCTGTGCAGAGAATATAATGATTGCAAGAGAAATGGCCAGCGTTGCTCCCATAGTGATGATAACAACGTTGGTGTCGTGGAAGGAGGCAACGGTTCCCACCATGTATGACAAGCTCAGGGTGACCAGAACCTGTAGGCAACAAAATTCAACACATTAAACATCTACAATATTATTTGGGGAAACTTTTAATAGATTCACAACTTCTGCTTCAAACAGAGACGACCCAGATTTATGTCTTAAAATCATCATAGTCTTTTATATGACTGTGTTTGTGTCTTGCTCTGCCTAGTGCAATTCACATCACAATGCAGCAAGAGTGTGTCCTATTTTAGCAACCTCAACGGCTGTGAACTCGAGTTTAAAGGAAGCTGTGGTTTTCATTTGGAAACAAAAACGAAAGAACACAACTACTACTAATTAGTGCCATTGTACCCTTGATTGCTACCACTTAATATCTTTACTTTACTGGAATAGATTATTTCATGTACACACAACTTTTTAAGTAGTTTTTCCATCAAAAAAGTGTTTTTTTACTTTACTTAAGTCTGCCTGCTTTACCGTCGACAATGTGACCTCTGGGGTTAAACTACACAGCTATGACTCTTTCATCATATTCTAACCGTCCTTTTAATCTATTTAAATCTTTTGTTGCGTGTTTTTTTATATGGGTATCTGTGACAGGATCCAATATTGTGTAAAGTCAGTTTCCCCATTAGACGTTTGAAGATTCATGCTCCTGCATTTGTAACCCACCAGTCCCACGATGTTCCAGGGGTGACGCCGACTTAAGGACCTGAAGCAGATGAGGGCGATGGCGACCACGAGGAAGAGGACGAACGAGCTGATGTAGGCCGCCAGGTGTTTTTGCACCACCTCTTTGACTGCGCTGGAGAAGGTGAACACACACACCACGCTGAAGGTGAACAGCAGCTGGATAGTCAGGATGCAGAACACCTGCACAGCAAATCAACAGTTATAAAAAATGACTAAATATTCTGCACTGTAAAAGCAGCTGATCAAATGTTTCAGAGTAAAACTTGATTTGTGACCATTTATGGATTAAGCAATTCAGCACCACATATTGCTATTAAGAGTTCATAAAAACAAACTGGCAAATCAGCAAGCATGGCTGTCAAAATAGCTCCCTAAAGGTAATGTATCAGTGGTTGAAACATCCAGCTTCTGCCACTCCAACTGGTGGTAATACGAATGCAAACTAGACTAAACCTACTGACACAAAAGATTGTAACAATGTACATGTTTATATAATTAAAGTATTATTGTGGTCAGGCAAAAACCGAGCAACTTGTCATGTAGATGTCTCGTTGTTGTCCTTGAACCGGCCATGATGCATTCTGTTATTGTGACCAGAACCAGAGACAGTGAACCTCTACCTGCTCAATTAATAGTTTTGGAATCGAGGTGATTTTATGCTTTTCATGATTTGGCTCGAATTTGTGTTCTTTTCACAGGTTGCATATTGTATTTCTACAAGCGATGTTTCTTATTGAAAGAAGAATTTAGAAGCCTGAACAGGTTAAAATGATCCATTAATTTACAGACAAAAAGCAAAGACTTGGGAAAAGTCTGGAAATATATTTTTGATGTTTTCTGAAATTTCTCTTGCAACCCCTTAGGAGGGTCCTGAAACCAGATTGAGAGATTCTGGTGCAGTACAACGTCCCTGTGCACAACATGAACGCACCATATACTGTTTACACATCAAAAAGTATTTGTCATCAGTCACCATATTATTTCTGGATGTAGGTCAGTAGTCAAAAGTTAGAACTCCGAGTTGTACAAACCTTTCTAACAAACGCTCTTCTCACTGTCTTGTCGTCAAAAGCGGATGAGGTTATAGGTGGACTTGTGTCTGGGTCCAGGGCTTCTTGGACCACATCTTGGAGAAACTCAGTGCCAGCTGTTTCGACTTTGAGTTCAGGGTACATTTCGGGTGCAGCAGAGTAGGGTGGAGGTTGCTGCTCTTCATAGGGGTATGGCGGAGATGGTGATGGTGGCGAGGAGGACACATCTGGACCAGGAGCCTCCTTTGTCTCTGTGGATGCGACGGGCTCGGCTGCGTCTGACATTCTGGAGGAAACTGTAGGGCCAAAGATAAAGTTCAGTCAAACTGGAAATTCTTAATTAGGTAAAAACCCCTTGAGATGAACCATCTCGTTTTCAAATAGAAGGATGGATGTATACAAAAGCAAAACACAGGGCTGATGGGATATATTATGTTCAGCAGGTGAGGTAGGAAGCTCCTGTTTAATGTGACAAAATAAACTGTATGATTTACTCATTAACTTTAGTGTCTAAACAACTGAAAAGGACGTTTCCAGCCAGTGAAGTTGAATGTAACTGTAGTTAACTGTCATCCAGGTGTAAGCCTGAGTGCAGGGGGAAGTAGACCATGTTGTAAATCCATTCAGACGGCAAAAGAGGGTTTGTTTCTCCAAATTTCCTGTCGAACTCTGTTGGTGTAATTTAGTGAAACACTGGTCATTTTTTTTTTAACGTACAGGTTTGTTTACATCACATCTGGATGTTTAAATACAACCACATCTATTGCTGTCTAGTTGCTCAAGAATGGAACAAAGATTACAAAGTAAGGCTTGAGCTGTGGGGCCACTTCTCTTGGGGGAAACCAGTGTTGTGTCATTTAGTTTGAAAACCCTAACAGTCCATAAAAATACACCGATTTATAGATTTATCCAACACTGCAGCAAGTTATAATAACAAGACAATGGGAATTTTTTTCACCACAGACCTTTTGACTTGTCATAGGAAAAGTTGTGACTAATGACATTAGCGATGGCTGTTATATTCATGATGTGACAGTGACTTAAGTTAGTTATTTACACCTGTGCTATTCCTACTGTGACATGTCTCCTGTTAAAAAGGAGTAGATTAAACCTTTAAACAAACAATTACCTGTCCATGCAGACGTGTTCAAGTAAACCTACGGAGGTCTACATGACATCACTGAGATGTTACTGTATATTTATATTTGCAACGTTTGTGTGGCAAAGATGTCAGCGAAGTCACGTAGACCGACCTAGTTTTTGAGCATTAAACACTGTAGTACATGTTCAGGCTGACGGTCAATAAAAACACAGTTCTTTTTCTTCCTCCGCTGATGAATTAACTAAAATGAATACAATAAGCTTTAAAGGTCCATTGATGCAGTTATACTTGCTGCACCTGCTTCACTTTTAATTCTGATAGTTTACCACAAAATCACACAGTTCACACAAAGAAATCTGGTGTTCCCATAGTGGTATTCTGGCAGTTAGGTTGTTTTTTTGCATGTGTTTTAGACCACATGAATATCAGTTTCTGCAGGATTAGGTAATAGTGGAAGTAAATGGAAAAATATTTAATAATACTTCATAATAAGAGACTTAATAATAATAAATAATGTTTTGTTGAAAATACTAGTAAATACAATACTACAAGCAAATAAAATGCAGTAGAGAACACATTAGCATATTTTATTTAACTTTACTCACAGAACCAGTTGAGTTCTTTGATAACAAATAAAGTGAATGTTCTGCTTACCTTTTCTGCGGGATTACGGTGGATTATAGAGAACAATAGTCCAACACCACACTGTGCTGCATGAGAAGGAGACGACACAAAAAGCATTCCTTGTTGGGTGATGGGTGTCATTTATTCAAACCACCTGTGGCGTTTTACTTCCTGTCTGTATGAAGTGAAGAAAAAAAATTCCTGTATGTAAGGCAGTATATTGCAGAAATTGGTAACTCCAAGGTTGCTTCACAGTCGTTGAGAAGACATCAAAGTAAGGTATGGGGACTTCCAGGGGGCCTTATATCAGATCATATCAGTCCTACAGGGTGCACAACAAAATCGGACTGTGCAGACTAGAGCACAATTAAAGTATAAATTGTGCTTGTGACACTGGCCGTTTCACTGTTCAATAGTCACTTTTTACTTGCTCCTACATGGGACACAATTTAGGACACATTACAAGTACACATGATCTCTGGGAGTACTTGATAGTGAACATGATTAGGAACCATTGGAAGCTGTTGCCAGGCAGGTTTTTAAATTGCAGTGATAAGTGTGTAGCCTGTTTACAGACCTCTGAATCATTTCCCACATCTCAAGATTGTTTTCAGAAATTCAAACTGAAAGTGAAACTGAATGGCAATTGAGTCTGATTGCGGTATCAGGCTGAGAGATGATTCAAAAATGTATAACTTATAATTAAATGTATAATAATAATAA